CGTGTGCTCTTCCGATCTAAAAATTTTATTTTTTCTAAAAATTTCAAAAATCACTCGATTTAATTTAAAACATAAAACGTACATGAAAAGTTTTATAAAAACAAACCGAGTAATTTTCAAAATTTTAGGGAAAAGTGAAATTTTTTCTTCCACATTCTGTATATTTGAAATTTATTTGGACATATGGTCATATAAAGTTTTCGTCTTGAATTTGTGTAAGAAATTACATCTTAATATCTTTTACATTGTTTACTTTTCCACTCTGTATAAGTCATATTTTACGTATCAATCATTATCATTAAATATTCGAATTTATTCCAGATTTATAATATTTACTTTACCATTTTCTTAAAATTATATATTTCGTGCAAAAGATTAAAACATTTTTACAATTCAAAATAGAAGACGTTTTTGTATTATATAAACTATATATAGAAAGTTTAAGTATTTACTAGACACGACAGTCGCGTCTAACTTGCATTTCTTGGACAATATAAGCGCTTAAACGCTGCTAGCAAATCATAAATGTACAAATAAGTACAGCTTGAGCTTTAATAAACATTAAGAGATGAAACTATAATTTCTATCATTGGCTTCTGCCATAATCTTTGTTATGGCAATTACGCACGCAGTTGAAGCAGAAGCAATGGCCATCTCCGATGCTGATGCAAAAAGTTTTTTTTATTGCTGGTAAGTCTAGTCGTTCTTTAATTATAACATATTCTATAGCAAGATTATTATATACATAAACGGAATAACTTTTTTCAGAAAGCCAACCAGTTAAGTGTTAAGGAATTTACAAAATGCGTACTCGACGTGGTAATTATGCAAATTGTATATATACGAACTAAGAAATGTCATCACATTAACGAAAACGTATGTTTTATTTAGATAAATAAAATAAAGCTGCATTTTTCGTAGAATGAAATTTAAATGAAACAACCAAAAAACTGAGAAAAGCTTACAATAAAATGTGACATTACAATAAATATTATTATATATTTTTTCAAAATAAAATGTGAATTATATTTGTATGCCTCTATTGTATTTGGTCTTATAATTTGCAATAATAAATAAATAACAAGTTTGCATCAGCAGTATTGCTTTATTTACTTAAGTTTTATAATATTTTATGTTTGTTATATTAGGTTAGTGCTATAGATTAAAAAAACTGCTCTTTTCAAATTGCTGAGAAAAATCCAGAAAAATTTTGATTTCTTTTCGATAAATTGA